CCAATTCATTTGTCGTCCCCCCAAAAGGTGAACATGAAGATGATAAACCGATTGGCCTGCGAGAAAATGACAGAATCAAATGCTTGATACTTTTAATAATAAGAGAAGAAATTTGTTATCGTGTGTAAAAGATGGGGATTTGAGTACTAACATCCACTCGGTCCATCATTAATTACGACCCTAAAGCCATCGTCCAGCCCTTCTTGTTTGGCAATGAGCTTGGCAGCGTAAAGCAGTTGACCGAGAATCTCTGTGTGCCTCTCCTCAGCCTACAAAGCACAAGAAATATACAATGAAAATGCAAATAAAGGACAAGAATATCTATGAATGAACAATACAGCCCCTGAACCAGTGTCTAATAAATATAATAATCTTTTTAGCGTCAATGGATAAATTTCAACCTCATAACAGCATAAAACTAGAACGGGCCATTAAAATTAGCAGTTTAACACAAACACAAATTCCAACTACAAAATCCCTTAACATATAGATACGCAATTATGTAATGGTTTTAGTGAAGACGAGAACCATTTCTTGAAGTTTTTAAAAGTTTAGCTTCATATATTCTAGATGCCCACCCATTGTAATCCAAAGACCATAATACGCCTTTGAAGTAACAAAAATCTTTGTCATTAGTTTTTTTCACCATTTCTTTACAATGGCCTTTATCGATCTTAAGGTGAAATTTGAACTCTTATCACAGTCCAAAAATAATTTTTTTAGTTTCAAAATTTGACATGAATTTTGAGAATATGATCAGAAAGTAGATAATTAAAATAAAAATTAAAAATTAAAAAAAAAAAAAACCAAATGGCTATCAAATGGGGCCTAATTAATTACAAAAATCTCTTTTACTCGTAATAAAATTACTTATGCAGTATCTATTTAAATTTTATTTCAATCAATTTCTTTTAAATCTTTACCCACCAACAGGCAAAATTTTGTTGAAAATAATTCACAAGTTCCTCGAGTGTATTTTCCGTAAAATAGAAAATAAAAGTGAGTAACCGAATTCAATTGATGTGTGAATAAACTAAATAGTTAAATAAATACATAAAATACTAACATTTGCACAATTACTGTTACAAAATTGATCACATAACTTGATTGAACAACTCAAACTAACTTAGATTCGGTTGAATAACTTGAATTGGGACCATCATCTAACTACAGTCATTGAGTAGGGCTGGGAAAGTCCCTAAACTAAAACCAAACCAAATAGTAAACACCTCTACTAGAGATTTTCTTACTCTGGTTAGACAACCTAATTGCCACTCAAATTTCTCCACTATAAAGATAAATCTAACTTCTCAATCATTATTCAAGTATATAGTGGATATTTCATATAATGAGATCAAAATGACTTCAAAATGCAACTGCTAGAAGAACCAAGTCGACGGACGCTTAAAAGCAGAGACTAAAATACCTAGTAAAGAAGTACCTTAGATAATCCAGATAACCCATCCTTAACTTTTGGAATGATTAGAATATGTGTAGGAGCTTGTGGAGATATGTCCCTAAAAGCAAGAACCTGCCATCAGAGTGAAATTGAAACAAAAATTAATAGAACTCACAATGACAGAGCTTAACTTCAATTCCAAGTATTCATCTCATGACAACATCCAAGCAAGATTTATAAAACGAAATGAGTGGTCGTAATTGAAAGGACATTGAAGGATGCATAATAAATATACATTAAGTCCTTGGGACAAAATTAAGAAGCCAAGGAATTGATTTGAAGAAATAATCATAAAAAATTTTAATTAAAAAGGAAACAGATCTGTCAATCTTTCAACCCACCCTTCCATGAATATGTGCCCAAGTGGAGAAAACAAAAGGTCTGTCAATCTTAGTTCAAATAGGGATCCATCAAGTTGGACGAAGGGTACCTTTCCATTACTGAAGAATTTTAAAGAGAGACAAGTCTTTTTCAATGCTAGCATCATATTTTCAATGATGGGTACCGGCATCGTATTTCCACCATGCAATAGTAACAATTTCTCTCTAGAAAGTAATATAACACATTCAGCAAATACATTATTTACAAAATTAATCTAGATAGGCCATTGTCCAAACTTAATATTTCCTTCCCTCTAAAATTCTTTTACATAATAATACAAATTATATAGTAATAATGTAAAGGAACCTTATCATCCTCAAAGACAATCGTAGATGGAATTTCCTTATTAATGATTTTGTCAAATCTGCAAAGGTAACAAACCAAAAACATTAGTTGCAACTTGAAATGGGTTTTCGTGAAATGTAATGATTTTATTTATTTATTTTCTCTACTCGAGAATAGTTACATGGTTTTCTCAAAGGAGATAAAGAACAAACTCCAAAAGGAAAGAAGTAAAAATAAAAATTGATAGCTACTTCCCTAATATGCAGCAATGACAACTAATTCGTATAAGAAAAAAATCCAATTTACTACCTTACTTCGCTTGGTATGTCAAAACCTACAGCTTTCAATTTCATCAATCTCAAACTTAAATAAATTGTGCAATTAATGCCTCTTCAAAACTAAATAAAAAATATCAACACTAATAAAATATTCAATATCAAACCACAAAAATAGCAATACTGAATAATAAAAATACCAAACTAAGCAACAACCTTAAGTCATTAAAATAGTGCTAAGTCTAATGAAAAAATGTTAAAATTACGATGGAAAAATCTCGTAATGACCAGAAAATCAATTCCAACAACAATAGTATTATCCGGCCAACAAAAGTACTCAAATTGAGCCACAAATCTCCAAGACACAAACACACATACACACATTCAAATACTTAATTTATTTATTTAACTTTAGGGCCTAATTTTATGAAATTAAAATTTTAAGGTCAAAATTGACAAATTGTACAAGGTATAAATTGAATTTTCCCTGTCAATAATAAACAAAAGATAAACAAAATAAACAAAATAAACAAATCAAGTACTCCACCTCATGCATATTTGAAGACTTTTGCATGGCCAGATTGACAATTAATTTGTCAGATTGCTTTTTGTATAGTCACTAAAATAATACATTAGCAATTTGTTTTGTTGTAGGAAACTTACATATGACTCATACATCAAGCTTTTCCTTGACGAAGTGTTTGTTCATGGTCCACTTCAAGGTTTTTTATCCTTATGAACTATAAACATTTAAATATTTGTATGTTCATCATAGTAGATCCTTATAGGAAACCAACTAGGAACATTGTACCTCTTCACAAATTTCATCTACTCTCACAAATTCCAAAGGAAAATCCCAAAATTCTACTTCAATATTACTCATAGTCGTAGCAACTATATTTTGTTCATTACTTCCTCAAGTAACTAGTTTCCCTCCAACAAAAGCACAGTAGACTAGACACAAAATTCTCTGTTTGTTGTTTAATGCGGAAAATAAGGATGTAACTTCAAAAAATAGTGATGAGGCTATCCCAATTTCTTCCATTAAGTATGCAAAACAAGCTTGTCCTTCACTCCCTTCGGGTTTAAATAAATTCTCTTCCTTCCTTGATATTTGTGGTCTTCAGATACAAGAAATTCCACCATTTTCAGATAGTTTTGCTTAAGAATAGCAAGTTCGGCAGCTCAGTCAATCCGTTATTTCCAAGAGGCACGAAAATGCATATAGTGAAAGCGATCTCCGGCTCTTCATTGGTTGCTCCAAGTTATTGTGTGGGGATTTTTTCATTAAATATTTAACCACTTCGTCCATTTCTCACCTTCCAAGCAATCAAAAGCAACTAATGCCAAAAAAAAAAATATTTGTTTCTTTTTTTTATGATAAGCTACCGCAATTTCGACTACCCTCTCATAGATGTCTCCTTACAGCGATTATTTTCCCCAACATTGAACCCAACTCCGGACAGTTTGTACAGTTCAAAATCTTTAAACATCTTTAAATCTCACCGTACTCACAGAACCATTAGTCTTCAGCTTTGAGCATACGCTACATACACTAAACAACCAAAATAATACATAATTATAAGAAGAATCAACAATTCCATTCCCCGATTACTCAATCGCCATGAAACAATCAAGAACCGATTACCAGCAAATCAAACACACAAAAAAAAAAAAAAAAAAAAAAAAAAAAAAAAAAAAAAAAAAAAAAAAAAAAAACC